ATCATGCTCTTTATAAAAATGTCAGAGTTTGCACTTAAAGTTAACTCTGAGAGGTTTTGATGATCATGGATATGACATTTTTAAATTGTTGGCCTCTGTTTTTAGTTTTTCTTAAATATTTTATGATCATAAATGATATGGATATATTTGTGATATACATTTATTTGTGGTAGTTTTATGTCAGTATAGACACAGGCTGTAATTAAAGCCCACTTCTAAACCCTCTCCTTAGAGATTGTAGAAACAGCACCTCCTGGGAGAAGAGATTGTTTGGGGCAGTTCTAAAGGAAGGGCCATAGAGGCTAATGGGCACCGAGTCCAGAACTGTAAATAATGATGTCTGATGACCCAGGGAAGGGAAGGCATAGCTCGTGGCTCTGTGCACGTGCACTTCCGTGTTGTCTCCAGACTCCAGAGGGGGCTGAGGCATGAGGCTCCAGCTCTTATCCTTGGGAGACCTGGTTCTAGACAGAGAACTGGAAAGGAAGTTTGTGCCCTTTGGGTTCTGTGGAATTTGGTAGTCAGAGGGACAAAGAGTTGTAATTGGATTGCAGTGGGTAGGGTTCAAGATTTCTCCAAATGCTTCTCAAGTGGGTGTATTAATGTGTGTAGTTTTGAGCCTGCTGGGGACTTGCCTTCAAAGAAAGGCCCTTGAGGATAGGCTGTGCCAGATGTCCATGGTTTTCAAGGTGGAGGGAAGGGTGTGGGGAGAGGAGGAGGAATGGCATGGTGCAGAGGATGAGCTGGGATCGCCTTTGTTACTTTCTGTAAGGAAAGCTCCCTATATGCAGTACACTCTATGGTCCTTGCTTCCAGAAGGTCTCTTCCTCAGCTGCATATGCCAGGATACAAGGCCCATGAATGTGACTGAGGAGGATTGTTAAAGGCTGTCCGATAGGAGCAGTGTAGTGAAACACTGTTGAAGAGCATGGACTTTGGAGTCAGTCTGGTCTGCATACATGGCCAGTCTCTACCGCTCAACACATTTGTGAGTCTAGACAGGTGACTTGACCACTGAAATCCTTGGTTTCTCCCTCACTAAAAAGTGAATGACAGCAGTAACTAGTTTACGGGGCTGTTGTAAGATGGAAAAAAAAAAATAAGCAAGTTCTAAATATATTTATCAATCAGTTATGAGTCAGACAGTCTTGTAGCTGATTAGGAGTTATTTGAAAATGAAACACAAAACTCTGTTGGAGAGTGATGTCACCAAGATGGTGAGGTAGGAGATGCTGCCTCCCCCATTTAAGCTCAACATTAAGACACCTATCCATGAACAAAACAGCTCCGGGAGAGCTCAGGAGTCCACTTAACAAACTTCAGCAACAGTGGAACAAAAACCCTGAGAATAACTTCAAAAACAGAAGGAGGACAGCTTCCTTCTGCCCCTGATCCTGCCCATGCCAGCTGGCGCTGCCCAGTGCCAAGAGGCAACTTCCAGCCACAAAGGGTTCCAGCTGGGAAAGGAAGAGGCAAGTGAACACTGGGTTTCTGAGCCCTTTTGTGGCACCGGGCAAAGGGCCTGCTTTGGTTCTGCCCCACCCAGAGCCTGGGAAGCTGGGACCTACACAGATGGCTTGGAACAAGGATGAGCGGGAGCCACCAGTGTCAACACACTGGGGTGGCATCCACAGTTCCCAGTGACCTGCTCTGCAGAGGACCCTGGCAGCTTTGGTCACTGAAGAACCCAGCGGCCACTCAGTACTGTACTGATTTGGAAGCTTCCCGAATACTTGTTTCACCTTGTCCACATACATCTGAGCATCTGTGAGTCTGCCCAGGTGATAGTAGACCCAGGCATAGTTTCCCCAGGTGACCAGCCTTCTGATTTCTGCTTGATCAGAGTGTTCTCGCTGGACCAGCTCCTCAGCTTGCTGTAG